CGCGACTCGCGCCGCCCGCTGGCATCCAGGTCATCAGGGTTTGAGGCGACGCAGCGGCGCCCCCTGCCAGGCGGCCGGGGGAATTCAACAGTAACGCAGTATGGTCACCTTGATTACGAGTGGCCCCGATTTAACAGTTTTTTTTTTTTTTTTTGCTTTGAGTTGATGTAATTCATTAAGCCACGCCTCCTAAGGCACAGAATTAACATACAGACGAAGTGAATTGAAGAGCTTCATTTTGATCCATCTAGGGGCATTTTGGTGCTAGGGAACTATGCCGAAGTAAGTGGAGGCATTTCATTTCGATAAACGTAATGCTTTGTGACCTTTTTGTGGCATTCATTTTTGAGGGGATGTCAATCACTTCAAGATATTCGTGATTGGCAGCTTCACTCGATGACAAGTCATGAAAACAATGCTTTCCTGATGTTCAAATCTGTGTTCCTTTTAAACATGTGAAGTCTTTCCATTTTCCATTGTCACTTTGCTTTGACCTCAGTCGACATTTCAGCTTCAATAAAAATCTTGCAAACGGCAATCCAGGCGTCAGTTGGTCCATTTTTCTTTGCTGCGCCCCCAAACTATGACCAAAACTCATTTTTGGCAATTTCGTATTGTCCAACTCTTAGATACACATTCGATTCATTGTTGAACCCGCTTGCTGCAATACCCGGCAGGCTGGAAATGGAAGACTGGAGAGGACTCCAGACAGCAATCGACAGGTAGTTTGGGGGGGGGGGGGTTAAAAAAATGACCGCCGTTCCTTCCACCAATCGCGTGGCAGCAATCAGGCTGCATCAGCCAATCAGCGGGACTCACCTGCTCCCAATCTGGAAACTCACACAAAAACTCCACTGGAGAGGAAACCCATCCATGTAAAAGAAAAAGGTCTAAAAGTCGTGCAATTAATGGCTCTTTGTGATGTCACAAGGCTTCTTTAGCATCACGCAGACTTTTGAAGTGTTTTTGACCGCAAAGCGCTGAGCGACCGCCCCAGGTCGTCAGTCAGTCACCACAAGCGAGACGAGCGCCGCCGGGGTGAGCCGCCTTCTTGCGGACGATCGAGGTCGTGCCTGCCGAGTGTGATTTCACGAAGGTAGGACGACGTATGGCCCATGACGACGAGGGCTAACGCTAGGACCATTCGTCTCGGATTTAAGGTCCTTCAAATGGCTGATTCAGCTAATTGAATCGTCTGAAAGCCGATTTGAGTTGAGAATGCATCCTTGGTGAGCTTCTCCCACCCGACGAGTTAAGGCCGCCTAAAATCGGTTGAGACTTTTTTATTTTAGGGGAGCATGTTTGTCTCTCCATACATACCAAATTTACGAAAATGGCTTTGAGCTCAGAACTTGGTAGCTTCAACGCATCATTCTCGGCGGAGGGAGTAACTAGAACAAAAAAGGAGAGCATTTTAGCTTCCCCTTACAGCTGAAAAAAATTAAAACGATTGAATGATGTAATATTAAACAGTTGGTGAATACAATCAAGCAATGACACTGGCTTGATTGAACAATGAAAAAAAAAAAGACAAAAAAACTGTTTTGAATGACCTGGTCCATTGAAATGTCAAATGTGACCCCCAAGCGCAAGTTTATTTGAAGGAAGTCCCCCAAAATGGAAGATTTTTTTTTTATCTCCCCCAAACGCACACAAAAAAATGATGGGAAACTCTTTGGGGAAGTGTACCCCGTTGCAGGTAGAAAACATGTTGTCCTGGTGACTGACGATTCCAGGTGGACTTCCTGTTCCCTGGCGCCATTGACCAAATTTGCCATTTCCCAACATTCCTTACGTGTCCAAACAGACGCGTGCGTGTGGCCGCGGAGGATCGTCTTCCTCCTCCCTCGTCAACGCCAGTCGGGCGGGAGCTCGACGGGGCTTTGGAGAACGTCGAGGACATCTCGGCAAAGCAACCGGGGGAAACGGCAATTGTCTCCGCGCAGGCGCCCGCTGAGGACTTCCCAGAGATTCCCCAGAGACAAACGGCAGGTGGGTGATGCTGTCCTTTCTTGGGGTGCAGACCAGTTACTAAATTGGACCGAAGATCGAGGCGGCTCGCTGAACTGCCCGCTAGACGCCATCGCTCCGGTTACGGGGCCATCCGATGACCTCGGAAACATGCTGTACAGCAGCGGGCGGGAACCTTTTTGACCAAGCGGGCCATGAAAGCAAAATATTTGGAAATGTATTGGAGTGAGGGCCATATCATGTACTGTATTTTAAAAGTGAATTCAACAAAATGTCAATCTAAGAAGCCTCTGAATGTATTCTTTGAAATAACTTTCGACCGTTTCATCGCTGCAATTTTGTCATCGCAAATTCGACACGCCGCAGAACCTGTTCTCTCCACAAAGGCGAATTCTTGGGTCCTCAGTTGGGTCCACCAACTGCAGCCCTGAACAGAACATGAGCAGTGAAAATTGGTTGTATTTTTTTAATAACTTTTTTTTTTTTTCTTTTCACCATCTGCTTTGTGGAAGGATTAACTCTGAACGAATGACCGAGCAGACGGATTCAAAAGGGGGTGTTTACCCAGCAACGGCCAGCGTAGGCCAGTATCATCCAATTAAAATTGCTCCTGCCGCCAACTGCAGCCCTGAACAGAACATGAGCAGTGAAAATTGGTTGTATTTTTTTAATAACTTCATCACCAAAATGTTTTCCAAGCGCAGAAAAAAAAAAAAAAATTGGACTGGAGTTTCATTTGGACTCTATCAAGATTTTATTGTGATGTCATCGACATGCGACAAGCTTATTTTAACCCTCATATCTGAAGGAAAAAAAAAAAAAGTGCAGCGCATATTTCCAACTTTGGGCCCAAAGTCACTTGAGCGTTTATCGGGAAAAAAAGCGATGATGATGATGCAAGGCAATGTTTTTGTGTGTGTGTGTCTGTGTGTGGTTTTAGTTTGGCAACGCACATGAAAAGATTTCTACATCTCATTAATGGCGCCATTCAGAAAAACAACCGGAGGCGAAAAGGAAGCCAAGTACATCTTTGTCAGCACGAGATGTTCTGACATGTACGCACGCCAAAGTGCTGTCTCACGACACGTTTGCACGGGTAATTTGAAGTTTGGCCCCCCCACCCACCACTGCAGGGTAGAAAATGGCTACCGTGTTAGTTAATATATCGGTAGTTTCATTTTTCGTACTCCGCAAAACGCTCATGAGTTGTAGCTCAACACGTTTCTTTGGAGCAAGAATGACAGCCAAAAAAAAAAAAAAAAAAAGTGAAGTAAAAGTTGGAAAAAGGCAACGGTGCCACCAAAAAGCTCTCCGGCGGCAGTTTTCCACAACTCGCGTGAACAGAGGGCCAAAAGTGTCGAACCTTGAACAGTTTTCCACAACTCGCGTGAACAGAGGGCCAAAACTGTTGGGCTTCAGTCGAAAAGTCCCAAAGTGTCGAACCTTGAGCCCAAACAAAAGCCTGACGCCGTTGTCGGCAAATATCAAACGGGAAACGATAGTGAGCGAGCCCAGCTTGCGAATGGCGTCAAAACACAATCGCACCTTGTTAGGTAGAAGGAAAGCGCGACCGGAGTCTCCGTTTTGGCGAGAAAACCAGACAAAAAAAACAACACATCCTCAAAAATAAGGGGGAAAAGTTCCCCGGTCTCGGTTTTCCTGCGCACGACACAACTTGTCCTAAGATGCTTGAAGAAAGTCATTGGGGACCTCAAGCAGCCTTCCAAAAGTAAAGCTTGACTATTCATTGATTTCTTCTTTTTTTTTTTTTTTTTTTGGGGGTGCAGCCAGGACAAGGACGCACGCGGGG